AGATTCCCATCGGGAAGCTTAAGGGAACTCACTGCATCCAGAAGCGCTCTGATGCTGTTCCCGTGATTCGAGGCCTCATGAAAGCGTCCCCGAAGCCTCGCAACCACTTCGGTCGGACCGATCGCAACTGGCTGCGATCGGTCCGAAGTGGTCGACGATCGGTCCGAAACGGTTGCGATCCTTCGTCGTCGTGGTCGCGGGGGGGGGGGAAGGGGCGACTCAGACCCCCGACGTCGTGATTTTTGTCGCGACGTCGACCCCCAGGGGTCTGGATCCCTTCACTGGGGCTGGCTTCTGTCCTGTCAGTAAACTAACCGAAATACAAACAAGATGTGCTGAGACGGAAACTCACACCACCACAAAACATCGGACGAATCACACCTGTTCACACACCGTGTCCATCCTGCACCGTTCTTTGACGGCCCCGAGGTCCGGCAGTGGCCCCCATGGGGGCCCAACGCAACTAAGGAGCACTTCCGTCGCGCGTTGTCTCGCCACGCGAGGGGGGGGGTTCTGGGGAGGACGGGGGGGCGCGGGACGTGGGAGGCCGCGGGGGCAGGCGGGCGAAGGGGCGAGGGCGGAGGCCACCGCGGCCCCGCGGCGGGAGAGCCCACAGTCGAGCTCGACAGGTCGGATCGGCGATCGGGCGGAATCGGATCGGCGGAAGTCGGCAGCCGAGTCGGGAGAGAAGTCGAATCGGCAGACATCGGCAGGCCAGTGGGCCTCCGTTGTTGAGGAGTCGGCATCCAGAGCGGGGCCCGAAGCCGACTCGAAGGGAAACGGAATCCCTCGAGGCCGAAGCCGAAGCGAACCGGAGGAGCCGAAGCGAGCCCTTAGTGGGCCCTGGAAACGACAGGGCCGTTTGTTTACTGGTTCCGTTTTGTCGTTTTTTGCCGGTTCCGACGCCGTTTTGTACAGGTTCTGTCGCCGTTGTTTGACCGGTTCGGGCTCCGGCTCCAGTCCTGGAGCCGTTTCTTTGCCGTTTCCGGTCGCCGTTTTTTTGCCGTTTCCATTTTCAAAAAAACATTTTTGTGGAAACGGTGAAAAAAACGGCCCTGTCGTTTCCGGGGCCCACAAAGGGCATGTCCCCCTACAGGGGGCACACCCTAGGGGAATGAAAGGTGTCATAAGCATGGGGAAATCCGAGGGGAACATCCTAGGAGAAGATCCTAGGGTATCCTAGGGGAATATCCCCTGAGATCCGACGCTGCAAAAAACATGCGACATCGGAAAACATCACGACTGGAGCCTCAGACCCTACCTTTCTGCGTCATTTTTCGAGCCGGATGGATCTGCGAGGGTCCTGGGGCCCGAGATTGAACGAAAACGCCAGGCGCGATAAAATTGCAACGCCAGGATCTCGGGGACCTAGGGTGAAATCAGAAGCCCGCCTACAGGGGGAACTATCCTATGGGAAAGAAGGGTGTCATAAGCATGGGAATATCCTAGGGGAACACCCTAGGGGAATATCCTAGGGTATCCTAGAGTATCCTAAGGGAATATCCCCTGAGATCCGACGTTGCAAAACAAATGCGACATCGGAAAACATCACGACTGGAGCCTCAGACCCTACCTTTCTGCGAAATGTTTCGTGCCGGATCGATCTGTGATGGTCCCGGGGCCCGAAATTGAACGAAAACGCCAGGCGCGATAAAATTGCAACGCCAGGATCTCGGTGCCCTAGGGTGAAATCAGAAGCCCGCCTACAGGGGGAAATATCCTAGGGGAACGAAAGGTGTCATAAGCATGGGAATATCCTAAGGGAACACCCTAGGGGAGTGTCCCAGGGTATCCTAGGGTATCCTAAGGGAATACCCCCCTGAGATCCGACGTTGCAAAAAACATGCGACATCGGAAAACATCACGACTGGAGCCTCAGACCCTACCTTTCTGTGTAATTTTTCGGGCCGGATCGATCTGTGAGGGTCCGGGGGCCCGAGATTGAACGAAAACGCCAGGCGCGAAAAAACTGCAACGCCAGGATCTGTGGCCCTAGGGTGAAATCAAAAGCCCGCCTCCAAGGGGAAATATCCTGAATAACCCACAGGGTAAAAAATCAGCAACCCGCCTGCAGACGAGCCCCGACGCGGTGCTCGAGGCTGGCCCGCGCGGGAGGCCGGCCGGGCCCTCCCGCCGAGCAGACTTGGCTCCACAGGATGGAAGGAGGAAAGAGGAGGAGGAGGAGGAGGAGCCGCTTTGCCCAAGACATGTCGAATCCACGCGTCCTCATGCGACTTTCAGTCGCGCCTGCTTCTGGCCACTTCCATCCAATCACGGTTCACCGTATCATAGAATCTAGTGGGCGGTGAGATCCGACATGGCGCGTCTTCTGAGCGGGGCTTGGGCTCGTCTGTCGGCGCTTCCCGAGAACAAGGTTTGGTCCGATATCCGTGGACCTGCTTCGGCCCTTGTGGGCACGATGATGCGGCTTGGTTGGAAATTTTTGGACCCTTTCCGCTGGATGACCCATAGGGGTCCCGTGTGTATTGAAAAAATGTCGCCGAGGGATGTTGGTCGGTTGGCTGATGAGGCTACCGAGCGATGGATTTGGCAGCAGGTTCTGGCGAAGCATGCGTCATGGGCCTCGTTGTGTGCCCATCCTCCTCTCCTCGAGCCTCTGAGGTCCCTCGTCCTTCCTGCCTCGCTCAAAGGCCCCGACTGGACCCCCAAGCATCAAGGGCTCCTCAAGTGCCTTTTTGCGGGAGGTTTTTGGTCTCAAGAGAGGCTATATGAAGCTGGTGGAGCTATTAATCCAGAGTGCCTGGCGTGCAGGAGTGTAGGCTCCACCTGGCACCGATTCTACGACTGCCCTGTGCACGCCGAGTATCGTCGGGATTTCAAGGCAGGTTTCGAGCTGGCCAGTCAGATGCTTGAGTTAGCGAAGACGACCGCTGACCGCTCACTGCTTTGGACCCGCTTTCTTGTCCCTGATCCGTCCTGGCTGTTTCCGAGCCCCTGCCTCGAGGAGCGCGCGGTATGGACCCTGCGCCCGCCCGATCTGCTGCTCGACGTGCATGTGTTTGGAGATGGCTCGGGAGTGCATGGGCAGTTTGGCCGTCTCAGGAGATGTGGGTGGGGGCTGTGCTCTCTCGACTCCCAGTGGAAGGAGGTTGCGAGAATGCATGGTCCGCTTCCCAATTTATGTCAGACAGTGCCCGCAGCGGAGCTTTTCAGTTTCCTCATGGCTCTCCGCTACATGGGGGCGCAGATGAAGTTTTTTACTGGCTGCCAGACTCTTGTAGACGTGTGGCGCCAGGGGTCAGGAGCTGGCACAGACGCCAACGACCCCATGGCCTACTTATGGAGGGAGGTTTGGAGGCTGGTGTCTGACCGTGGGGGTGGAGGCGGTGGAGGTGACTCATGTCAAGGCACACTCGCCTGTCTCCGCCATCGCGGATGGAGTGATCACGGCTTGGCAGCGTTTCGGCAACGCTCAGGCCGACACGTCAGCCAAGCGTGGGGCTGCGATGCATCCTGATGCGAAGATGTTGCGCGAAGCTCACCGTGCCTCGCGTCGTGCTGTCCAGATGGTTGCCCAGTTCTGTACGCGTGTCGCGGCGAGGATTGGTGATGTCACCCCGCTGGACGCGCAGGCTCAGGCCCTGGGAAGGGCCATCGGCACCATCGAGGGAGGTTTCGGACCGCCTAGGCCGCACTCGCGGTATGATCCTGCGGTCACATTTTGTGGCCGAAGCTATCGCTGCATGGTGTGTCTCCGCTCGGCCAAGGCCCGACTCACATTGCGCAAGCTCAAGTGTCAAGACAGAGCTGGTATGCACTCGCTGCATCGGGCGGGGCCAGTTTTGTTCTGTTCTCTGTGCGGAGCTTACTCCGAAAAACGCAGCCAGGGTCTCTCGGACGAGTGCCTGACGAGTCGGCGCAGGCTTGGCACGCAAGTGAGAGACTCTCGGTTTTATCGCCTTCAGAACCTGCTGAAGGGCTGCCACCCTAACACATCGAGTTTGTTTCTAGGGCCTCCAATTTTGTTGCGGAAGAGGAGGCCCGTAGAGATGGCGAGCATGCCGCCACTTCCCTCGCTCCCTCTGACCTCTGGGGTTGGGAGTGGGTCGGAGGTGGGGGTGGGGTGGTCGGGGCAGGAGCATCTCTCTCCTCCTGTGTCCCAAGCTGTTTCGGCCTTGTGGGAGGACCTTCAAGGCCTCCCTTTTGCCAGCGACTCGGATGACGACGACGACCCTTCCCGCGATATGCGGAGCTGGGTCGAATAGCGTCTCCATCGCTGGCCGTCACTTTTTAAACAGGCTGGTACGCGTGCGGCTGGTCTTTGTCAGTGAACAACCCTGCCGGTCCGAAGCTTTGCGGACGTTCTGACGAGCAACGCGCTGACAGTTCCACTGCAGCACCTGCGAAGGGCGGTGATGATGATGATGATGATGCTGGTTATGATGATGATGGTGATCGGGCCCCCAGAGCGAGCTTTCTGGCCGCCATCGTCTGTGGCCCCCCGGGCGCGCGTCAGCACGCAGCACTGTGGGGCCTGGAGGAGAAAATCAAAAGTGCGCGCATGCCTTGCCTGGTGGGCGGCGCAGCTGAGGGGGCACGCAACGGTGGCGCCTGGGAGAAGCGAGGCGAGGGGATAGGCAACCAGGTGTAGAGGCGGAGGAGGGGCCGAGACCCCGGAAGAGGGAGGAGGCGGCGCGTTCGGTGCTGTCAGCTGCACAGGCGCTAAGGCCACGCCAATCGCGATACGGAGGCAGCGCAGAAAGAAGCAGAGCGGCGGCCCGGGTACTGCACAGTCAAACAGTGCAGGCGTGCAGGCGGCCCTCCTCCTCCTCCACCCTCCTCCGCCTCCTGTGTGCGCTGTTGCCAGCCCCCCGACCTCCAGCTGAGGAGTCAGATCGTGCAAGGCCCTTTTTCCTCACGAGCGAGCTGTTCTGCCATCCCGGAGGTACGACTCTCCATGGGCGAGGGACAGACAGACATGCTTAGTTACGTAAGCCCCGCCGCCTCCAGCTTTGGGGCAGCACGTCAGGCAGAGCGAGCTAGCCGCCATCGTCTGTGGCCCCCTGGGCGCGCGTCAGCACGCAGCACTGTGGGGCCTGGAGGAGAATATCAGGAGTGCGCGCAAGCCTTGCCTGGTGGGCGGCGCAGCTGAGCGGGCACGCAACGGTGGCGCCTGGGAGAAGCGAGGCGAGGGGATAGGCAACCAGGTGTAGAGGCGGAGGAGGGGCCGAGACCCCGGCAGAGGGAGGAGGCGGCGCGTTCGGTGCTGTCAGCTGCACAGGCGCTAGGGCCACGCCAATCGCGATACGGAGGCAGGCGCAGAAAGAAGCAGAGCGGCGGCCCGGGTACTGCACAATCAAACAGTGCATGGGCCGCTCTCTACGACACCGCTCCTGGCGGAACCATTACATTTTGGAGGAATGAAAAAATGACATGAGCGTGCACGGGGAGGAACGAACCCCGCATGCACATCTAGGATAGATGCAGGCCGTCAAGAGGTGGCTCTAGGTCATGGGTGCCAGTCCTAATGACAGATGGATCGCCTGTTGAAAACTACACTTGCCAACCCCCGCAATCACATATCACAGTGCCTGGTCCTCAGCAGCTGCAATGGGTCTTGAACAGGCCGGCCATGCGATCCTTACCGGCGCGCCGGGCGAGCTCCAGGCTCGAGCGGTGCCCTCTGCTGGGGTCGCCGTGGCACGCCCGCGGGTCCGCGCCCGCGCCAGCAGCGCGGCGGCCAGGCCCAGCTCGAGCTCCGCGGCGGACTCTTGCGCCGAGGGAGCCCACTCGGCGGCGTCAGGAATTCCCAGCCAGTCGGTGGCAAGGATGCTCTCCCTCTGCGGCGCCGAGCTGAGGAGCTGGAGCGGGGACTGCCCCGCGACGTTCGTCTCGTCGGCCCTGGCGCCGTTCTCGGTCAGCAGCCTGACGATCTCCTCGCCGCACCCCAGGCGGATCGCGGCGCAGAGCGGCAGCTCGAAGCGAGGCTACCAGAACGGCGTCTTGGCCGCATCCGAGTCTGCCTCGAGGGCGAGGCGCACCTGCTTCAAGCAGTTCTGCTGCAGGCCCAGGAATAACGGATCCGCGCGAGTGCGTCTCAATGGCGGCGGTGCGGTCGGCACCCTGCGGCATGCACGCGGTGTACTGGGCGGCGTCGTGCGGGATGTCTCACCAAACGTCATCGCGCTGTGAGTCTTGCGCAGTACAGATTTGCAAGGTTGGCAAAATCACTGCTCGCCCAAATGGCTACGGAAAAGGAGGAGGAGGAGGGGGAGGAGAAGGTAAAACACTGAAACCAGGAAGGTAATTATCACTTAATTCCGAAGTTAAGTGATTCTCTCCTTTTGTATTGCTACCACCTTCACGACGACTTACCTCCGCAGTTAAGTCACTCTATGAATGCTGCTTCCACCCGGCCGCAAAATCACTTAACTCCGGAGTGAACTGATTCCGCGGGCCGCCCCTGCCCTTCATTCGGCCGGGAAAAAACGGAAAGGGAGGGTTGCAAAAGGGAAGGACAGGGAAGGAAAAGGGTTGGAAAAAGGAAAGAAAAAGGGAAGGACAAGGAATGGAAAAGAGAGGGAAACAGGGAGGGAAAAGGGAGGGACAAGACAGGGAACAAGGGAGGGAAAAGAGATGGAAAAAGGAAGGGAAAAGCGAGGAAAAAAGGAGGGAAAAAGAAGGGAAAATAAAGGAAACAAAGTATGGAAAAAGGGATGGAACACATGATGGAACACGGCAAAGACAGGGGAGGAACAGGGAGGGAAAGGGGAGGGAAACGGGGGGAAAAGGGATGGAAATGGGAAGAAAAAGGGAGGGAAAGGAAAAGGACAGAAAAAGGGAGGGAACAGGGAAGGAAACGGAAAGGAAAAGGGAAGGATAGGGGGGGGAGGGGGGAGGGAGGGAAAAGGGAAGGAAAAGGCAGGGAAAAGGGTGGGAAGGACAAGAGAGGAAAAGAAAGGGAAAATATATGGAAATAGTGACGGGAAAGGGAGGGAAAAGGAAGGGAAAATGGAAGGAAAACGGTAGGGAAAGGAAGGACAAGGAAGGGAAAACGGTAGGGAAAGGAAGGAAAAGGAAGGGAAACGGGAGGGAACATTTATGAAAAAGGATAGAAAATGGAAGGACGGGGCGGGAGGGAAAGTAAATTGAAAAAGGGAGGGAAAAGGGAGTGAACAGGAATGGACAATATAAAGAAAAAGGAAGGGAAAAGGGACGGAAAAGGGAGGGAAAAGGGAAGGAAAATGGGAGGGAAAAAAGGAGGGATAAGGATAGGGAAAGGAAAGAAAAAAGAAATGGAAAATGGAAGGACATGGGGGAAAAGCGATGGAAAATTGAAAAAGGGAGGGAAAAGGGAGAGACAATTGATTGGAAAAAGGGGGACAAGGGAGGCCCCGACAGAGCGGGCAAGGTATCGGAATACCATCTTATGTACACCGTTTCGCACCCGCCTCTCCGGACCCCCAAGAATTCTCAGATATTCCTGAAGGGGTTCCTGCGAGTTCGGTTCCAAAGGGTCCCCGATGATCCCCAAGGGAATCCTCAGGATTCCCAGCGGTTCCTCAGGGGGCCTTGAGGATCCCGAAGGTTCCTCAGGGGGTCCTGGGGATTCCCGAGGGATTCCTACAGATTCCTGGGGATCCGAAGGATTCCGACGGGATTCCTAAGGACCCCTTAGGATTCCGAAGAGATTCCCAAGGATTCTTAAAGGATTACTACTCGGTTTCTCTGGATTCTTGAGATTTCTAAAGTCCTGGATTCCGCATGCCGCGTTCCTGGATTTCAGATTTCCTACACTTCGGGGGTTTTATAGATTATTTGATTTCTATGGGTCCCGGGAAATCTTCGAGTTTCAACGATTCCTGGGTTCCTGGCGTCTCGACTTTTCCTCAATTTCTGGAAGATGGTGACGGTGGCGCAGCGGTGGCCCCCAAAGCGTTGGCGCTCTGACGCTTTTGACGCTCCTGACGCCCTGACGCTCCTGACGCTCTTGACGCTCTGACGCTCCTGACGCTCCAGGCGTGAGGGGCGTCAGAGCGTCAGGAGCGCCAGGAGCGTCAGGAGCGTCAGGAGAGTCAGAGCGTCAGCAGCGTCATGAGCGTCAAGAGCGTCAAAAGCGTCAAAAGCGTCAGGGAGCGTCAGGGAGCGTCGGAGGCGTCAGGAGCGTCAGGAGCGTCAGAGCGTCAGGAGCGTCAGGAGCGTCAGGAGCGTCAGGAGCGTCAGGAGCGTCAGGAGCGTCAGGAGCGTCAGGGGCGTCGGGAGCGCCAGGAGCGTCAGGGACGTCCACAACTCCGGCGCCGCCGCTCGAGACATCCTCACAACTCCAGCGCAGCCGCTCGAGACATCCTCACATCTCCGGCGCCGCCACTCGAAACATCCTCACACATCGGGCGCCGCCGCTCGAGACATCCTCACAACTCCGGCGCCGCCGCTCGAGACGTCCTCACGACTCCTGCACCGCCGATCGAGACATCCTCACAACTCGGGAGCCGCCACTCGACACATCCTCACAACTCCGGCGTTGCCGCGCGCTTTGGGGGCCGCCGCTGCGTCACCCTGGGCTACTTTATTATGGAAGGTCTCCTGTGGCCGAGGCACCTATTGCGATCGCTTGTTCCTCCACCGCCGCTGGCCCCGGGCCAGGGAACGGCCGTGGACGACGAAAAATGTCGATCCTCGTCTTCCGGACTCGAGCCTCCCTGAAAAATCGGCCCGTGGACCTGTCGAGGGGCGCGCTCTGGCCAGACTCGAGGCACTGTCCAGCTGCGGCGGCGAGGGCGTCCCAGGGCGCGGAAGAGGGGGCGAAAGATTTGGACAAGTCTCGACCCTCGAACCTTGACGGAAGGGGAGGACGGGGAGGAGTTGCGCGACGACGACGACAACCCGGGGTAGTTTTTCGTCCTGGATCCGTTTTTGACGGTCACGGGCCCCGAAAGCGGCCCCCAGAGGACTGAAGCGAACAAGAAGCCTTGAAGGTCGAGGATCTACGAAAAATCGACGACTACTACGACGGAAACGACGACGGCGGCGGCGGCGGCGACGACGTCTTCGGCGGCGGCGGCGGCGACGAGGACCTCTGAGGACCTCCGAAAGCTCCCGGGAGCCTCCAAGGGCCTCCGAAAGCCCTCGAGGATTCGAGAACTTCCGACGAAACTTACGAGAGCTTCCGAGAACCTTCGGCGACTTCCGGGGATCGCCGAAGACTTCCGAAAACCCAACTCTGGGGAAAAGGAAGTCGATGGGGGGGAGAAGGCCTGGCAAACTTGAGATGACAGGTGCGTTTTCCATGGACTGGCACGTAGTTCGCTGACGCGGCGGCCGATGAGCGAGGAGGAGTGCGAGGAGAGGAAGACGCACAGGGTGGCCGAATCCGCCACCGCGCTCTGGGGCGCAAGTTGGAATGCCCCCAGGTCCCCTGCCTAATGCCCCAAGCTTAAATCCTCGTCGCGTGTTTACCATGTCTGAGCTCAAACCGACAGCGCGAACCGCCCGCCCCAAGATGCCACCGGGAGGCCCCGAGAATCTCCCAAGAACCCACCCCACAAGAAGCCCCCGAGCCACCCTAGAGGCCCCGTGACGACCCCCAAGAGATACGCCACTGTCTCCAATGAGGTTTTCGAAAAGGTCTCCCGCGACATCTCGACGAACATCCGAGAAGCTCATGACCGCGAACCCAGGCACGGTGGCGGGGCTGACCCAACGCAAGAGTTAGCGGCTGGCCCAACCACGGGAGGTAGGGCAGTGTCGCCGTCGCCCCTGCAACAAATCACTTATTCAAAATGGCATTGCGCCAACCTGCACCTCACTGCGAACTCTGGCGAGCGGCGTCCGCCAACTCTTGCTCCAGCCGCAGAGCTATCTCGGGCTGGAGCATGAGACGGGCGCGTTCGCTCTGCTGGAAATACACGACGTCATCGTCGACCCACGCGGGCAATGCCGAACAGTGGAAGTGCATGCACAGGAACCGCAGGAATGACAAGTCTGCAAAAAGTTGGAAAGCTTTCTCTCCTACTGTCTTAGTTTCGGGTGGCCAGTGCGAAGCAGTGATGGCCCAAGACTGTCCGACCGGGACGGTGCCGGATCGAGGGTCAATGCCGGCGGCCCGCAAGCCCTCGGCGCACTCTTGCCGCGCGAGCAAGCCGCTCGGGCGTCGCGACTTGAGAAGGCGGCTGTAATGCCGCCGCAGCTTTGAATTAAAGACGCATCTTTGGCCGCGCACCTCCTGGGCACAGGCTGGGCCGACCCTCAGGGTGCCGCGGCGGCGGCGCGCCAGGCGCCTGGGACTATTGTTCCAGCGTCGCAGTCGTTTAATTTCCCGCTTAAAAGCCTCGCGGCCCCTGTAAATATCCGCCGCCGCGCCCCGGGGCGC